AACAGAGCAAGATAAGAGGGAGGGAGAGGGACAGAACTCCACAGGCACAAATACTTCAGGATAAAAAAACTTTAAACTCTTTTGCACCAATACTCCCTATTCTGTCTGCTTTATTTTCTAGCACTGGCCACCATCTAACATACGTATTTTCTTGTTTTGCTTGATGGTTTATTTGTTCCACTAAAATATAAGTTTCATAAGTGTAAGGATTCTTATCAGTTTTGTCCCCTGATCTATCTCCAGAGCTTAGCACGGTGCCTGGCACATAGTAGGCACTCCAATGTTTGTTAAATGAATACATTCCCATCTGAAGGGCATTCTATTACAAATTCTATAAAAATATGCCCAACACTTAGTGGCTTCAGCCACAGACTGAACAAACCACAGGAGACTCTTGCATGTGGAAGGCAAGCCACCAACCAGCCCTTCCAAGGGCACTGCAGTCCCTTTGACAGATGCTTATCAGGCTCTTACCACAACTTGTTCCCGAAGAGCTCTGTGTGGAGGGGATGCCAGGCCAGGCAACACACAGTGCGTCCTGTCTCACACGTTGGTCAAGGTGTACAAGTGGATCGGGAGAGGAACCAGGAGCTGCCAGGGAGGCRTTCTCAGTGACAGCAAGTGTCCCTGAAAAGGACTTCGGAAGAAAAAAGTGAAAGTGGCAGGCAACTGGGGCAGGCAAAGGATCCCCAGATGAGTCAGGTGTTGAGGAGGTCGAAGGCAACAAGGCCGCACCCAGTGCCAGGTACAAAACAGAGCCCCAGGAGGGCAGAGGGGCGGACTCGACATCCCTGAAGTCCCGCCAGCTGGAGGAACACACTGCCCGTCCCGCTGGCACAGAGGTGGCGGTGCCCCGAGGAACAAAGCAGTCACCGTATTGCACCTGCAGGCAGACAAGTGGCAGACTGCACCCAGCACAGGGAGGGCTCCTCACATCACTCAAGGCAGCAAGACCACCCTCAGTGGTCTGAACCTGGAGAAGAGGAGCTGGCGGAGATCGTTCCTGGTCCTCGTCCCACTCTTCCGCACTCAGAATGCCACATCCATGCACACCTCCAGTTTCCCTTCCAGGAAAGTGTAAGGTTGTTTTTCTGCAGCCAACTGATGTTTCCAACCAAGTACCTGAATACAGAGTACTTCCCAGGAAGGGCTGATGCCTGGGCTGCAAACCTGGTACAACAGGCCAGGGCACAGGTCAAGTGTTTTATGGTAAAGCCACAAACCAAACAGCAACAAAAAAGTTCAAACAACCTCTGCTCACCACAGGCCAGAAAGTCCTAGACCTCCTCTGGTAGTTGAATAAAAAGTTTAGCATTCTGGTTTTCCTTTTCACTACTGGGGACTGGACTCTACCACTGAGCAAGATCCCCAGCCCTTCTGATTATTTTGAGACAGGATCTCGCTAAGTTGCCTTAGCTTCCTGAGGGCTGGGATTACAGGGCATGTGCCTCTGTGCCTGGCTTCTTAATTTTTAAATACATAAGTTTCTATTAGAGCTCTCAGGTCACAAAATTTCTGAGGCCAAATTTTATGTGTATTTTACAAATTGTGTAAGAGTGTGTGTGTAGGCGCACACACCCCCTACTGGGGATCGCTCTACCACTGAGCCACATCCTCAGTCCTTTTTATTTTTTTGAGACAGGGTTCTTGCTAAGTTGCCCATCCTGGCCATGAACTTGTGATCCCCCTGCCTCAGCCTCTGGAATAGAGGGGATCACAGGCAAGTGCCATCCTGCTGACAACACCTCCCCCCCCCGCCCCGTTTCCTGTTTTTAAAGAAAGGACACATCAATACTTATTCATGGAGCTTTTATTTTGTCACAGTGCACTGGATGGAACCTCCTTGGAATATACTTTTCTCCTTCCTAGGTTATAAATTCCTAGGGGGCAAGGAAGTATGGTTGGTATCTCTTTATAATCCCACAGCATTTAATTTGTTGATTGATTTGAAAGTGATCTTTAGAATAGGAGGACATTTATTTTGACTGCTAAATTGTTCTGTATCAGGGTTTAAGTTGGGTTTTTGTGGGTGTAAACATTGATAGAACAAAATTTTTAAAAAAGAGAACAAGCTAGTCAAGCATGGTGGCACATGTACCTCAGGAGACTGAGGCAGGAGAATTGCCAAGTTTGAGAATTGCCAGCCTCAGTAACTTAGTGAGGCCTTGAGCAACTTAGTGAGACCCTGGGCAAAGTAATAAATAAATAGATAGATAGATAGATAGATAGATAGATAGATAGATAAAAGGGCTGGGGATACAGCTCAGTGATACAGTGCCCCTGAGGTCCATCCCCAGTACCAAAAACAAAACAAACACAAGAATAAAACAAAATAAAGAAGTTCTAATACAGACTCAAGCATTGCCTTAATGCTATCCCATTAGTGATGGGAAAGTACCTTCAACAAATCATTTGTGAAAGAATAGAAAATCACCATCATTTACTGGATTACAGATACTGGGTCAAAACATCTGTCCAAACCCCAAACTGCCTTTGGAATATCATTAGTCAAATTTTAATTGTTGTTCTACTTGATTCACTGACTTAACAGCCAGGCAGAGGTCTGTGATCCAGCTGCTAAGGAGATGGAGGCAGTAGGGCTGCAAGTTTCAAGACAGCCTGGGCAATTTAGAGAGACCCTGTCTCAAAAATTAAAGAGATAGGAATGCAGTTCAGTGGTAAAGTGTTCTAGAGTTCAATCCCCAGGAATGAAAAAAAAAAATAAAATCATTAAAAGAGCCTGCCAAAAGTTAGCACTCAGAATAAAACTCTCACACAACCAGGAAGAAAATCCTGCCTCTGCCTGCCGAGCTACCAGGATTACAGGTGTGCGCCACCCCAAAATTGTTTGGATGAAGCAATACATTGGGTCTATGGGGGTATTTGGTCAACCAGTGAGCATACAAGTGGGAGTGGATGATGGGGAAGCTTGAACCACAGTCTTCACATCTCACTTGTTTCTTAATCTCAGAGACAGTGTCCCTTCTCATCTTTGCAAAAGCAACGCAGTTAGAACCCGTTTCTAGGGGAACCATATACATCCTTACACCAACTTAATAATTTTAACAATGTGAATTTTAGAAACTTGCATTTAAAAGTGAGCATTTCTTCCCAGAAAAATCTCTGGTCACATTTAAATAACCAGAAGGAATGATTTTCTCATAAAATAACAAGGGTCCAGTGAAGCGACAAAAACCATACAGTTAACGGACAGAATTTAATGTCAAGGTTTCCTTTATGTTTTATTTTTTTGGTGGGGTGCTGGGGATTGAACCTAGGGTCTTGCACATTCTCCCACTGAGTCACACCCCAATCCTTAATATAAGAAAAATCGTAAACCAGAGGTTTAAAGAAGGATCATGTTCTGTTCCATGACAAGATGTGCAGATACCATGGTCTGAACAAACTCAAAAGTTCAGTGCAAAGACGCATAGTTAGAAAGAACAGACTAGAAATTTACTTAGGGCTGCCCCAGGAGAATGTTCTAAGTCAAGGTTTCTCAATACTGCACTATGGACATTTGGACTGGGCAATTCTTTGTTATGGGGTAGGATATTTACCACTATCCTGGGCCTCTATCCATTAGACGCCACTACATCCAAATTGTGATGATCAAAAATATGTCTAGACATTGTAAATGTACATTGGGGAGCAAGAACCACTTGCGTCCAGGTAATGACTTTAAATTTTACAATAAAAGGAAAGGGACCATGTCCACAACTAGATTTATGATTTACTACACATAAATTTATACTTTAACCCTAGCAACTCTGCCCACATGAAATATAAACAACTGCAAATCCTCTTTTAGATCAAATTAGCAAACACAGAACAGCTATTACAGTACTTGTGTGGTTGAATAGCCACATATCAGTACTGAGCATGTGTCTGGTCTGAATTGAGAAGTTCATGTTGAAGTGTAAAGTTCATATTGGATTTCAAAGATTACATGTGAAAAATTCAATACTTAACAGGATTCACTTTTACCTATTTCTTTTAGCTTCTTAAAAAGTGCCTATTTTACAATTTATAATAACATTAGCATTTGTGGCCTGCATCACATTGCTATCCGACCGTGTTAGTTTATACACAGTGAATACTGGGCATACCCAACTTCTGGGAACCCCTGGTTCAACAGGCATATCAAGGGCTTGTTTTTTTTGTTTGTTTTGTTTTGTTGTAGTGCTAAAGATTCAACCCAGGCTCTCACAAGCTGGGCAAGTGCTCTACCACTACATCCCCAGCCCTGCTACAGATTATTAAGCAATTCGAATTTCTTTTTAAGTCAATACATCATCTTTTAGATAACCCATCTTTCCAAAAATCACTGTCAAATAACATGCCCTTGGATTTTATAGCGTTTTCTACTTGAAAACATTAAATGCATTTGTCCTGGTATGACTCCCTGTTTTTCACGAAAGTGAAGTTATTCACACTGTTAAATACCATCTGAGGAGTGTGTTCCGGAGACCCAGGAAGGGCTGCAGCTGGTCAGTATTTAAACTCCACTTCCAAGTCATTTCCAAGTTCCCCAGTACCCTATGCCAACCAGAAAAACACGGTGCATTTAATTCAGGAAAGACTCAAAAAGTTCTTGGGTCGGGTTCTTCCAACTGACAGCAGCAGGTGACCCGCGCCCACTGTAAGCGGGGTCCGCACTGCGAGCCGGACGCCGGAGACCGCGCGGGCGAGCGGGCAGGGCCGGCCGGGCCGGGCGGCGCGCCTCCCGCGGCTCCCCGTCTCCGCACGCGGCGCGGGCAGCTCGGCGGAACGCAGCCCCCGGGGTGGGCGAAGCGCCTGGCCGGGCCGGAGCGCCTCTGTGACGTCCGCCGGACCCAGCAGAGGGCGACTTCCGCCTGCGTCTGCGCTCCGCCCGGCTCCAGCCGCCTCCCTGCGCCCGTCGTGCGCGCCACCCCGGCCGCGGCCGCTCGGACCCGTGCAGCTGCGGGGCTCGCCGCGCACGCCCCGGGCTCCACCCGCCTGTCGCTCCGCCTCGATACCTTTTCCAAAACTCGGTCGAAGCCSGGCGACCTCAACAGGGCCTTCATCACTTCCCGCGCGTTCTGCATCAGGCCGCTCATCGTGCAYGCACTGCGAGCCTCCGGGTGCCACGCACGCCCCGACCTCGGACGAGACGTTCCCTGGAGCCAAGGGCAGCGCGGGGGGCAGGGGCCCCGCCCGCTGCGCTGTGGACCGAACGCGCAGGCGCGTGGTGTCCACCTGGCCGCGGGCCGCGGAGAGCCGAGCGCGTTTCCGGCCGGACTGCTGACTGGGAGCACCGGCGCGTCGGGCGCCTGCGCAGAGCGCGCACGGGCGACGGGTGGCGCGAGTGATGGAGCGGGAGGACAGCGTGGTAGCGGCGCCGGACGAGGGGGAACCCGAGGGGAAGAGGCAGCGGCAGCTTCTGTGCGAGGACTTCGCCTCGGTGGCGCGCTGCGACGCCGGCGTGGCCCAGTGCTACCTGGCCGAGAACGACTGGGAGATGGAAGTACGCTCGGCCGCCCGCGCCCCGCGCCTCGCCGTGCCGCGGCGCCCCCGCTGCAGCCTGTGCCTTTGCCTTTCAGAGAGCGCTGAACTCCTACTTCGAGCCGCCGGTGGAGGAGAGCGCCGAGGAGGGCCGCCCCGGGGAGGCGTCGCCGCCCGCGGCCTGGTGAGGGGGCGGGCGGCCGGGGGCGGGCGTCCCGAGCTACCTCCCTGCATATTTATTTATTTACTTACTTATTTTTTTGGTTCTGGGGATTGAACGCGGGGGCACTCGACCACGGAGCCACGTCCCAGCCCTCTGTCGTATTTTACCTAGAGGCAGGGTCTCCCCGAGTTGCTCAGCGCCTCGCCATCGCTGAGGCTGGCTTCGAACTCGCCGTCCTCCTGCCTCCGCCTCCCGAGCCGCCGGGATGACGGGCCTGCGTCCTGCATCCCTGTTGGGAGACTGCGGCCGCCTGTTACCCGCTGTCCGCAAGCTCGGCTGACGGGCCTGCGCCACTGCGCCTGGCTCTGATGACAGTTTCACCTGAATTGTACGAAATTGGAAAGGAATGAGGTTAGATCCTCTTTCAAAAAATGGTAACTTGCCAGGTGTAGTGATGCACACCTGGAATCCCAGCAGCTCGGGAGGCCGAGGCAAGGATCGCCAGTTCAAAGCCAGCCTCAGCAACTTAGCCAGGCCCCGGGTCACACCAGCGCTCCTGGGTTCAAACCCTGCTACTCTCCTCCCTCCCAAGAATGGTAACTTGAAGTCACCTCGTTTTCTCTTTATTTGCTCTCTGCTGGCCAACCAGAACGGTAGGTTTTGGTGGTGGTTTTAATCCACACTCCTTTTATTTAAGTGACCTGTCCCCAGTTCCTGCTTTATTGCTCATAAAATAAAGCCCATTTGCCTTATAAGTTCCATTGTCACTCTGCCTATCATTCCAGGATGTTCATCTGCCACCCTCTTTTTCCTATTACGGGAAGAATTTCAGACATCAAACTTTCATTTATTCCATTGGGCCATTTTTGTTTTTCTTTATTACCTTTGCTTGAGACTTTCTATTTTTCCTTCCTTGCTTACTAATACTTATCTTAGAGGACTCAGTTTAGGCATGATACCTGCTGAAAATTCCCTGACCTTTCAAGTCTGGATAAGCTTCCTGTTTTAGGTACTTGTATATAGCATCTTGGGTGATCCTTGTCATAAGTTGCTCCATACTCTTAACTGTGATTCAGTATTTTATATCTTTTACTCCACTACACGTTTGGTAAAGACATATCTGTTTTATTTACTATTGATTTCTCAAAAATATGACACAATATTTGGCAGGTAATAGTCTCAGCTAGTGTGTGTTGAATTATGAAGTTCTTACCACTTTATGGATAGCCTGTACTGTTGGCTAGTCACAGTGCAGACTCTTTTCTGAGTCATTGTCTGTTGTTTGTAACAGACTGATAAATCAAAACAAAGTAAGTGAACTCCTTGATATAGGTCCTCACAAAAAATGTACTGAGTTGAGTAGTGTGACATTGGAGCTATTAGAAGTCCCCTACTCTAGAATGGTACCTTGGCGGGGGGAAAAAGTTATAAGGCTGTAGTCTGTTGTCTCTTAAACCTCTGAGCAACTACTGAGAAGACTGCGGCTTTAGTTTTCTCAGCTCTCCTGAGGAAAATGGAGAAAGGTCAAGCTTCCGGGTGTTTCTAATTCGTAAATATTCATGTATCATGACCTGATTAGATTTTTTGATGTTGGCTTTAGGAAGATTTTGTGACCAGAAAAATTGAAGCCGCTGCACAAGGGCTTTGATTATGTTAAAGCAGTGGGTAGAACCTTCAGTAAATTCCTAAGATATTAGCAAAAACAAACAACACTAAAGTGATTTAGCCTCTACATTAGAATCTATATTTAGTGTGTCTCAGGAGAGACAAGGAAAATTTTTCTTAAAACCAGGTGTGCTGTGTTGAATCTTAGCTACTGATTAAAATTACCTGGGGAGTTAAAAAAAAAATTTTTGTCCTGGGGCCTCACTCCATAGAGAGCTTAATTAGTGTGAAGTGGGACCTATTTATTCCTTATCGACTTTTTAAAAATATTTTTTAGTTGTAGATGGACACAATATCTTTATTTTATTTATTTATGTGGTGCTGAGGATCGAACCCAGTGCCTCACACATTCGAGGTAAGAGCTTTTTTTTTTTTTTTTAAGCAGCTCTGTTGATTCTGATGTAGAGCCTGCCTCTTGCATATTTCTGTTAACAGCGTTCTTACTCCTAACCAACAGCATGACACTGCCTGGGGATTTGTTAGACATGCCAAATCTCAGGTCCCCTCCCAAACCTGCTGAATCATAATCTGCATTTTGACAAGACCTCAGGTGATTTAAAGCTGAGGAACTCTGTTCTCAAACATAGAACCTAAGGCATCAAATAGACTAAAGCATTTACTACTTAGAGAGGAAGTCAAGTTCAGTTCCTTATTATTTCTGTTCAACACTAGTTTTGGAGTTTGTTTCTCTCTCCATTTTTCTGAATGGAAGTTTTTATTGCAGTTCTTTAGGTACTTTTCCCACATTAAGTATTATGGATACTTATGGAACTTATTATGGATATTTATGCATAAATTACACACATGGTGTTGGATTACAGTGAAACAAGGAGAAGAACTAATAGTGCAGTAAATAAGATCATAAATTCTGGAGCCAAAATGCAAAGATATAAATCCACCTGTGCCATTTAGTAACTGATAACCTTTCTCTTGAGGTGAGTAATAGTACCTACCTCATTGGGGTTGTTCTAAGGATTGAATGAGTTAATAGATATAAGACCCTTGGAATAGGCCTGGCACTTAGGAAGAGGTCAGTAAATGTCAGCTCTGATTAAGAACACTATTGTGCTTTATTCATGACAGCACTCCATGACAATCCCATCTATTGGGACTTTGGATTGTCTTCCATTGAGGAGAGTAGAAAGAGTGCTTACATTTTGTATTAAGTAGTTACAGGTAGTCATCTTTAAACTTTGAAGGGAAGATTGGGCACGGTGGTGCACACTTGTAATCCTAGCAACTTGAAATAGGATTCTAAGTTTGAGGACAGCTTCTACAATTTAGTGCAAGACCCTGACTCAAAAAAATAGAAAGGGGTGGGGATGTGACTCAGTGGTAGAGCACCCCTGGGTTCTGTGCTGATCAGATCCTTTAGTCACAGCAGTGAGAAAGCTGACTAAAACAATGATCAAGTATTTAATTTACCTTACATAGCTGTATGATGTAGTACTTTTACATGACTGAGTGTACTGTTTGTTTATACCAGCATCACCCCCAAACACCCAAGTAATGTGATGTTAAATTTAAGATGGCTGGGGCTGGGGCTGTAGCTCAGTGGTAGAGCGCTTGCCTCGCATGCATGAGGCACTGGATTCAATCCTCAGCACCACATAAAAATGAATTTTAAAAAATACAGATATTTTGTCCATCTACAACTAAAAAAATATTAAAAATAAATTTAAGATGGCTACAGGGTAACTAAATGATAGGAATTTTTCAGCTCCATTATAATCTTATGGGATCACTGTCATTTATGCAGCCCAGTTCAGTACTATACACATTTCAAAATATATAACTGTGGATGAAAAAATTAGACAAAAGTGAAGGGCTGATATTCCTGCCTTTTTTTTTTTTAAATGCTTCCAATGAAAGAGGAAGGTGCTAACATTCTTGACAAAATACTAGAATCATTTAGCTTTTTCTCTTTTGCAATAAGACTTTGAAAAAATATACAATAGTAAATAATTATTGAGGAAGAAAGAGCTTTTGGGGAGGATAAAACTCAAAGGAAAGTTTTGCACTTACACATTTTTTTTTATGCTCTCAAATGTGATGTATAAAAAAGACAACTTAAAAGATTTATAATTTGTTTCAAAATTGTCATTAAGTTCATCTGGCACCAAGATAGATGTTGGCTTCTAAACACAGTTCTTCACTAAAAAGGAACAAGGGTCTCTTAGAAATGAGTGATTCCAGAGCAAAGGCAAGTTAGGCTACTTATAAAGAAAAAGTGTTTTTTTCAGCTCACAGTTTTGGAATCTGAAAGTCTAAACAACAGGGCACAGGCTCTGGAGAGGGCCTGTTATGGCACATGGATGACAGGAGTACATGCAGGCGGACCAATCACATCTTGACATAGGAAGCCAGAGAGTGACTCGGTAGGCTCAGGGTTTTTTTTAAAGAACCCATTCTTGTGAGAACTTGCTCCCTGAATCCATTATTCCTTCTAAGGACAGGAATCCCACTGACCTAAGTACTTCCACAATGGCCCACTCCTTAAAAATCCCAGTACTGCCGCCCCGGGGACCAAGCCTCAAACACATGAATATATGCTTAACAAACAACATCTAAGCCATAGCAGTCGKCATTAAGTTAATTAAAACTATAGATTTCTTGAACTTATAGTTTATAAATACTTAGCAGTCATCTTTTTTTTAATATTATTTATTTATATGTGGTGCTAAGGTTCGAACCCAGGGCCTCACATGCTAGGCGAGTGTTCTACCTCTGAGCCACACCTCAGCCCCTTAGCAGTCATCTTTAATGTTTTCTCTCTCCACTCATTTATTTGGGGCCTTTATGTGGGTGCAATAGAGTTTGGGTAGAACTATGGACTGGAGAACTTAAATATGGCCTCTCGTGGCAGTCTTAAGGTAGTCCGGCCTCTAAGGGGCAGCTCAAGGTTCCAAAAGGCCTGAGTGGAAGCTGCAGGGCTTATGACCAAGCCTCAGAAGTCCCAGCATATCCCTTCCACTGTACTGTCCTCTATTCGTCAAGTCACTAAAGTCCAATTCAAGGGGAGGAATACTAGACTTCCCCACTCAACTAAGGAAATAGAAAAGGATTTGCAGTTGTTTTTCTACTCTAAAACAGTGAGCTCTTACTTTAAATGACATAATCCAAATAAATTTGGAACTCTTACATTTCCTAGTCTAATTTGAGGCTCTGGTTGTTTTATGCGCATGTATGATGTGGGGCCCCAATCCAGGACTTTGCACATGCTAGGCAAGCATGCTACCCCTGAGCTACATCACCAGCCCTCTTAAAAAATTATTTTAATGACACCTGAAGGATATTGAATTGGTTATAACTATGTAAGTGAGCAAACATTTGGATAACACAGAATCTATTTTTCCTCAGTCATTTAACATTTAGTCTTCTATGAATAGATATTTTTAGGGCTTTCTTAAATTTCACTTACGGGTTAATCCCCGAAACCTTGCCTCAGCAGGAGTAGCTTATTAGAGATTTCTTCGTAGAAATAGAATGTAGAAATCTAACAGTGGTCCACTTTATTCTTTGAATTAGCCCTTGTTACTCTGCCACTGTGACTTATTTTTTAAATGGACATGTTTTTTTTTTTTTCTTCCTCTTTGCCTGCTCCTCCCTAATCTTGGAGGAAACAGGGTTACCTTTCTTCCCCATCCTAGGCAGGGTTATCTGTCCTCGAGCACTCACCCACCACAGGAACAAAGTAATTCAGACTTTGGGGATGGTACCAGAAATCTCAGAAATGACCCTCTCAAATTAACAAGTGAAATTCAAATGCAGTCAGAGCACTGGAATGTAGCCTTTGAATCACCTCTTTAAAAGCCCCCCCCCC